GCTCAGTGCACCTATCCTTCTTGCTGTCTTTGGGGGTTACTCTTAAAATCTAGTGCGTGCAGAATCAGGGGTACCCTGAGTTCTCATAATTCCTGTAGCCCGGTCATCCCAAAGCACTGTCAAAACGCGGACTTAACCCTGAGCCTAAACCCCTAAATTGCCGTTTTCAGGCGGCACAGTACTTGTGGCCGCGTGACACCGTTTCTCCCGCTTCCTCCCCTTCCACCTCTTCTTCCCCTTCTTCCTCCCCTTCTTGCGCTCCCTTCTGTTCCTCCGTTTCCTCCCCTACTTCCCTCCCACGAAACTCGTCCCCTTCCGCGGTACCCATGCCGAATCGCGAGGACCGCTCTTCCGTCCCCGTGCACGCTGCCCCTCTCAACGGCACGACAATCCCTGGCCGACAAACCCCGCCCGAAGAAGTTCAGATCTTGGCGGACTTCGTGGTCTCCGTGTCGCCGGACCCTGCACTTGCAGCCTCACGCTGCAATCCTTGCGGCCGTCGCTCCCGCTCAGGCGACACCGTTCCGAAGTCTCGTCCCACACCGCAATGCTGCGAATTTCTCGATCCGTGCTTGGATCCCCCGACCCCGAGCAGCTTCGCAATCCGGACCGCTCTGGCGGCTCCTCACCCGACGTAGTTCGGATCCCGGCGGACTTCGGCTTTCCGGCCGAGCAAATGCCCAGAGCAACCAAGGCTGCCAACGTGTCCCTCGCTGAGCCCACGGGCGAAGTCCGGGGGTTGACGGAGTGTGTCGTGTGCTCGGGCCGGGTGCCTGTTGACGGAGTCCGGTCGACGGCGAAACCCACCACCCCGGCGCTGCCTCCTGATGTCGTGCTGCGGTCGTGAGACCCTCTCTCCCCCATAGGCGGGATTCCTTTGCCACCCCCTGCGTGCCACCCCCATCCCCTCCGCTTCCATGTGACCCCGCCCCGGAACCACCGTCCGGCCCACTGGGAGGGGGCACTTTCCAGTCCACCACGCCCATCGACGGACTCGTGTCGAGCTCGTAGTAGACCTCCGTCAATTCCAACCAGCACTTGTCCTGAAGCTCGTCAAACAGTCGACCGGCAGTGGAAATGAGGGACAGGTCGCCGGGTGCTAAAGTGTCATTTTCGACCTTCACTTTCTGGAGGACCGAAATCTTGCGAGGTGCAAGAAGTTGGACTTCGACTCGCGTGGGAATGACATCCATCCCGCGCCCGGGATTGCCACGGCCATGACCCACTCGCCATTTCGTATCGCTGGTTGGATGACTCCCGGATGCCAAACCATGTCATGGCCCCAGTCCTGCTCAGGTGAATGACGTTGCGGTTCAAGCAGGAAGTGGATGTTGTCATCCTTCGAAGACGGATGATCGGGCGGGACAACGGACCCGGGACGCAAAGCGGGCGGGGGGGCGGCCAGAGCTCTAAGTCTCTCCAGCAACTTTATCGGCGTGGTGCCCGGCGCCGGTTTGGCCAATGGTGACACAAGGGCTGCAGCGCTTGGTGATGGACCGGCCGACGAGGACCCTTGGCCGTGGTCTGCCGGAGGCGGGTCGTACTGCATGTCGATGCTCTCCGTGTCGCTCTCCTCCTCCTTCGCGTTGGCGACAAACTCCACACCTATGGCTTCCTCGTCGGCAGTGGAGATCAGGGAAGCGTAACTGGCTAACTTCAACTGCTCCTCAGACTCCACAAAGTACAGCGACTGCAGCCTTTCGATAAACGTCTTCGCGTTCATGCAGGAGGCGAAGTGGTAGTTGTCGAGCAGTGCCAACATGTGGTCCTTCCGGCGGATGTACTCAGCGTCAGTGTCCCTCCTCAGACGCGTTTGAAGGAACAAGAAATCGTATATCTTGTTCCTCTCCCTCTCACTCAACTTGAACCACATATCCGTCTTCTTGCTCCACACCTTATCCCGTGTTGGCCTCACGACCATGAACTCACAATTGTGCCCACTCGAATTGACCTCGCTTTTCACCACCTACATCGTGAATGGCAAGAGGTCGGAGTTCCCTTCCATTGCGACAACGTGTCGGCCGGCTTTCATAAGCTCCCAGACGCTTCGCGCGTGTGGTTTCCCAAGGAACACGACACCCTCTCCCTTCTTGCCAAGAAAATCAAGAAGACCGACGAATTGGGTCGGATTGCGTTCCATATCCCCGTAGACGCTGGCCTGTCGTTCAGGCCACCGGCGAACAGTCACAAGGCGTGAAAGGAATCTCGGACACATCCGTCTGGGTGACCCTCTGAGGCAATCGCACCGCAGCAGCGGCACCCGTGGGCAGGTTTCCCTCGTAGACCACGGACGTGTTGACGCGCAGATCGTCACCCTTGAAGAGGATGTACATGCGGTCTTCCTCCGTGTACAAATTGTTCCCAACGGGGAAGCTTTTTTTTTGCTGCACTCTCTGCACCCACTTCCCTTCCAACAGCTTGACGAAAGAAAGATGGTGCATGCTGGCAAGAAACGACAGGTTGTGCTGCCGCGGCACGAAAACAACGAGAGTCCAATGCGAGGGACACCACGTCTGAAGATAGGAATTTAAAGTCTCCCACGCTTGGGGCTTCCACAGTTTGAGGTCAACCGACTCGCACAGATCGAGGACGAACGTGTGGCTCTTTGTGGCAGCCACTGCCTCCTTCAGCTCTGCGCCCCTGATGTCCGCCTCTAAAGGGTCGTTGGCGAACGGCGCGATGGATGTCACGTCCCCCGTGTCTTTCCATTGAATGTGAATGACATCTTCGGCAGTGCGACTTTCTGGCTCTTCAGTCTGCTTCCATTCAACACGGAGAGAACCTTGTTTTTCCAGTCGACGGACAACTTCTTGTGGCCCGCCAACTTCTCCGTCACCTCAATCGAGTTGTCCTGGTCGCAACCCATGTACGGCGGGCAGTCCTTGAACAGCGCCGAGTCGGAAACGTGTTTCCTACTGTTATCCCACAACTCGTCATCCAATCCCTGACCTTCAAACTTCTTGAACACGGCAGATCTCGATTTCAGGAAAGGGTACCTTTGGATCCAGTCTGCGTCCGACCTCTTCTCGTGCTTGAATTGGTAGTAATTCCACAACCGGACCAGCACGCGGTCGCACTTCACCAGCTGAACCATGTCCTGCACGCTGAGCTTTCCCAACTTCGCCAACGACGGGGAGACGGCCTGGACCCAAACGACCTCGCAAGTAAGCACCTTTTTCAGAACGCGACACTTCTCATTGTCCGTGAGTGATTCCATTGCTTTCCAACAATGCGCGTCCGGGTCTGGCACTTGCACGAACCAATCGCCCTCATCTTTTTTCTTTTTGCCCTTTTTATTTGGCAGGTCCACGGGGACGTTGTACACCACCTCCGTTCTGCCCAATTTGTCGTTGTGGATGTAGGCGACCCCAAGCTTTACGCTTTTGACCTTCTTCTTTTTGACGGTCCACTTCGCCCCATCGTGGCTCAGCAATCTGCCCRTCTCCCATTTTTCGAAAAATTCCACGGCCAGTTTCCAGACATTTTCCCCGGCCATCGCCAGAGGTAAGTAAGAACGYAGGGCARCATTTTGCTTCTTAATGGCCTCCTCTTMCTTTTGWTCCGYGAGAAGCCACAAGYTGTTTTGAGGCGCCTTATGGAGCGCCGTTGTACAAAACTTACGCCAAGCCCGGACCTGATCTTGTTTCCCGCTAGGGTTCCCCATCACAGCTCTCGGGCAGCCGTCATGCTTCCACTGCCATCGAATGTCTTTCATAGAAAGTTTCAACTGTCAGGGAGGCGCCTTCGAAGTCATCGGCGGAAAAGTACACCATCCGTGCCGGCCCCCGCTCGAAATTGTACTTCTTGGCCACCTCGCTGCCGAGCAGCAACCTGGCTGCAGCCGCGTTGTGCTGCCCGCACACCGCGTAGTAGTAGTATTCTCTCGCCAGCTCATCCTTCCACTCCTCTGGCTTCAGACGTTGTGCCTTGGTCCCAGGAGTTGGTTTTTAAAGCCCCAGTGGTGTGAGCTTGAAGACCGGCAACTCATACGTCTGTTCTTTATTTTCGAACGCAGACCGCATTGCTTCCCTTATCGTTTCCACGAGGATGGGATCTAGCGACCACTGGTTGTAAAGATCCTCCCACTCCCTTATGTCAACGATCTGAGCTGGGATGATCTCAAACTCCCGCCTTGTCCTTACGCCGTCCTTGTACTCCAGGAAGTACCCGGCGTCCACGTCGATGGCAGGCCGTGGTGAAGAAGGTCCCGACTCAGGCTGTTTATGTTTCGAAGCTGGACGTTTGCTACCCGGGTGACCCTCTTCCACCCCCCTCCCCTTCCGTTTCTCTCCTGCATTCCTCGGGGTCTTGGTCTTTTGTTTCTTTGAAGAGCCCACCAACTCTTCTTGAAATTCTCCCCTCCTTTTTTGGGGAGTGCCCTACGCTCCCTCCCCACCCACGGCCTCGCCTTCCGCGCCATGGCCCTCGGCGGGCTCCAAGTCAGACCCACACAGGACTCCCTCTTCTCCGGGATCCGCTGCGGTCTGTTGCCGGACCCCAGGTATGGACAGCACCGACCTGTCTCTTTCCCTCGACGGCGAAAATGGCGGACGAGGTGTCGCCTCATCTTCGCTGTCGTCAAACTGACCTCTGGCATCCTCCCGCTGCACATGTGTAGCCTCCCCGGAACCTAGATCCCCCCCCTCCCCCGCTCGACTCAAAATCGCCGCACGGCTGCAAAGGCATTGACAGTTCCAGGTCGGGACCGACTTCGCAAGGGAGGTCGAGGGCGATGCCCTTGTCCTCCAACAGGTCGAAGAACTCTCGACCCAAAACAAACCCGCCCTGCCGCCAGAGGTCGTTGTAGAACGGGGTGTTCGCAGCACCCGCTCCGAACCCCTCGAACAGACACATGTCGAGAACTGCCCCCTTGGCACCGACGACGACGTTCCCCTTCGAACCGTACACATTTTTCATGTAAAACTGTCGACGACTGCCTTTCGCATTCTCCCACCGCAAGACAGCCCCCAGAACCCTGCGGTGCTTGTTGGCTTCGACGAAGATCACAGGACCACACGGCTGTTGGACTGGGTTCCTAGCATCAGCACAGCACCAGTCGACAAACCATTTCGACCTAGCGTGGTCGGACCACGTCCTCGAGGTCGTAGACGACCGTTTTGTAGAATCTTTCCCAGATCCCATCTCGGAGGTTGCTGCAGGCTCCCCTTCGCCCCTGGACGAAGACATATTGTCTACGGATGACAACGGAAAACAAATAAAACCTCTTCGAGCGTCAAATAGCAGTCAAAGCACAACGCAGGCGAAAAATAGAGGAGGCACACCTTGCCCTCAACACGTCGGGCACATGACGCTATCCGAGGACCGGATCCTGGCGAACTTCTAACGCGAAGACCAACAATGACCTCTTACCTGCAACGAGATCATTCTTTACAAGGGCATACACTTCATGCAGCCGGGCGACAACCACGTCGTTTTTTTTTGGAACACGGATGTCCACCGGATCGGGAATGGACGGGTGGTGACGCACAAAGCCCGCGTTGGACGGGGAAGTGTCCTCCGTTTAGCAATAGGAACCCGGACAGTTCAGGACGCGAAGTTCGCCGAGATCCGTACTAAAAGTGCCTGTCCGAAGCCAAACCAACGCACCCACCGAAACGTGAAGTTCGCTGGGATCCGAACTTCAGGAAAATGCGATAGCCAGAGACGGCGTCAGGCAAACACAGATTGGACTGAACCACGACCCGGAAAGGCCTCGCTAACACAAAAGGCCGCTTGAGAAGGACAAGTTCGCCGAAATCCGAACTTCTTCTGATATGCGCAGCTTGGCATTGGATGAAGCCAAGCTCGAACGAGCAGCCGCGACAACATTGTATGAGTCCCTGGAGGAGCAGTTGTGGATCAGGGTTTGACTCGTGTCGCAATCCACGGGGGATCATCAAGCCCAACGCCCGTTCAATACATAAGCGTCACAGGAAGTTTGTCGGGATCCGAACTTCTGGAGGCTGCGAGAGAGACAGACAAAAAGTTGGGGTCCTGGCAAGGTGTCCTAGCACGGTGCCAAAGGGATTTCCAACAAGAGGGCCCGCCAACCGGGATCTCCAACGGGTTTCAGGAAACGCGAAGCTCGCGCGACCTTGCGATGGGGATCTCTAAGAGTGTTTTTGGCATCTCGCTATGACAGTGACCGACTGTTTGGCACATGTTGATGGTGGATGGGCGAAAACCGGTTACGGGCAGATCCTTCCGCGGTGATGGGTCTTTCCAGCGGCCCGCCCGACGCCAATGACATTAGAGACAAATTAACGGAGAGGCCAGAACGCGAAGTTCGCCGAGATCCGAACTTCGTCGGGGCACGACATGGCAGGAGACGACATCAGAGACGGACGTCCAACATGACTTTCGTCATGTCACTGAACCGAACGACGACCAGGGATTTGCACGACAAGCGCGCTGTGCAGTGTGTACCAGCAACCGCGGAGTCTCACACTTCTCTGCAGTCCTACAAATCTGACATGTTAGGCAACACAACCGCATCTCGTCCCTCGCCGTTCTTTTCCCTCAAACAGAATGACTAAAGACCGGTTCGGATGCGGCGACATTTGGGGATCCTCCAGGACGACGTCGTGAACCGAAGCCAAACAAAGCATTCAGTGACGATCCGTAGACGCGGGTCTGCAGTTCGTCGACCGATGCAATCTCTGAAAAAACGGACATGTATTTCATCCTAACAAACACCCCCGGTCGTGCCAAGGAGTTTCCTATGCAGTCCCGTATGTCAGCCGCTTTCTCCTCAACCGCTGACATACGGGACTGAAGAAGCGGCCGTGTCCCTTGTCTGTGTGCCGTCGATCTTTGTTGCCCCCAGAGGGTTTTGACCGTCCTGGTGCGCGGATTCTTGTCGCACACATGCTCCTGTTTCTGGTTCGCGTTTTCGCACGTCGACGTTACCGGCACGCGAATCGGGGGTCGCCTTGTCGATTTGCCGAAACGGGGTTTGGAATGGTTGCAGGGGGGGTCTTTCATCAGTTTCTACATTTTTCTTGTCTGCGCGGTTGGGATGTCCGATCTCGATGAACTCTTGCACTAGGGGTCAATTTGGGGTCGCGCTGCGCCCGATTTTGTGGTGGTGCATCCACCGCTGCCCTTTGCTCTGCGCTTGCTGACGTTCGACAACAGCTCGAGAGCGGCAGAGCCTTCCTTTTGTGTGGCCAAGCATAGCGTTCCTTATGTGAACCCGTTGGCGCTCCGTTCCACTGACACCGGTCGCGCAAAAACAGGTTCCTTGCTACTCCAGCACCGGCCAAAATCGGATCCCGGAGGACTTCGAGGCGTCGCATGAATCTGACCGTTGTTTTCAACAGCTTGGACTTCTCCGTCCGTCTTCAATGCCGGCGGCATGGTATTGCGCAAAATTGCTCGCCTTGTAAGTTGCCTTGAAAGGGGTTTATTAGGGTTGACGACGGTGTCGCTGACCGGGTCCATTTCCGATGTGGCGTGGATCTTCGTTCATCGGCGCCCCAAAATGCGGTGCGCCCGAGCAACGCCTGCTTCTGTGCAAACGACATTCACCCGTTACAAATGCAGGCGAATCCACCAAGTTCGGATCCTGGCGGACTTCGAGGATCAACGCGAATCTATCCGTCCTTTGCGTGGCGCCTGGAGCTTCGAGTGTGAGTTGATTGCGACAGGACTGTGGGCGCGAGAAATTGCTCGCCCTCTGAAATGCCCTTCAAGGGGTTCATGGGGGTTGCCGAAAATAAGGGACACGGCCGTCGTCACCGCCGGCAACCCACATTAACCCCTTCGAGGGGATTTATGAAGGCGAGCAATTTTTCGCGCCCACGATCTTTGTTGCCCCCCAAGGTTTTTGACCGTCGCGGTGTGCGGGGTCTTGTCGCATAATCGGGGGTTGCCTTCTAGACTGGTCGAATCAATGTTTGGAAGGGTTGAAGGGGGGATCTTTCATCCCTTTCTACATTTTTCTTGTCTACGCAGTGGGGATGTCCGAGTTCGATAAGCTCTTGCGCTAGTACTTGTGAATGGAAAACTGCACGAGCTCGCTTAGACGATGGTGCGAATCGAGTTTATGGGGGTCAGTTTGGGGTCGCGCTGCTCCGAATTGTATGGTAGTGCATCCACCACTACCCTTTGTTCTGCGCGTGCTATCGTTCACCGACAACAGAGCCTTCCTTCTGTTCGCCCAAACATAGTGTTCCTTGTGTGCACCCACTGGCGCTACCTTCCACTAACACAAGCCGCGCGAAATCAGGTTCCTTGCTACTCCTACACCTGCCAAATTCGGATCCCGGCGAACTTACAGGCTCCCCATAAATCTGACCGTTATTTTCAACAGCTTGGACTGCCCAGTCCGTCTTCAATGCCGGCGGCCTGGTAGTGCGAAAAAGTGCTCACCTTGTGAGTTGCCCTGAAAGAGGTTTATTGGGGTTGACGACGGTGTCACTGGCCGGGTGCATTTCCGATGTGCCGTGGATCTTCGTTCATCGCCGCCCCGAAATGCGGTGCGGCCGAGCATCACCTGCTTCTGTGCAAACGCCATCCACCCGTTCCAATACCTGCAGCCGCGCGAAAACCTGTTACTCGCTGCAGACAAATCCACCAAGTTCGGATCCTGGAAGACTTTGAGGATCGGCGCAAATCTATCCGTCCTCCGCATGGCGCCTGGAGCTTCGACTGTGAGTTGATTGCGAGAGGACTGCGGGTGCGAGAAATTGCTCGCCCTATGAAATGCCCTTGAAGGGGTTCATGGGGGTTGCCGAAAGAAAGGGCACTACCGTTGTTACTGTAGGCAACCCCCATAAACCCCTTCAAGGGCATTTTAGAAGGCGAGCAATTTTTCACACCCACGATCTTTTCTGCCCCCCAAGGGTTTTGACCGTCGCGGTGTGCGGAGTCTTGACGCAGACATGCTTGTGTTTCTGTGTGCTGTCCGGTTCGCGCTGTCGCACGTCGACGTTCCCAGCGTGCAAATCGGGGGTCGCTATTGCACTAGTGCCAGCGAATGGAGCACCGCACGAGCTCGCTTAGACGATGGTGAGAATCGGTGTTTATAGGGGTCTGTTTGGGGCCGCGCTACACCGAATTATGTGGTGGTGCATCCACCACTACCCTTTGTTCTGTGCGTGCTATCGTTCACCGACAACAGAGCCTTCCTTTTGTTCGCCCAAACATAGCGTTCCTTGTGTGCACCCACTGGCGCTACCTTCCACTGACACAAGCCACGCGAAAACAGGTTCCTTGCTACTCCTGCACCCGCCAAATTCGGATCCTGGCAAACTTTGTGCCCTCAACACGTAAATCTGACCGTGCTTACAGTTCGCTCCGCTGTTTTGCAGGGTGTGGACACGAATTCGAATGACCCGTTCGACCCGCACAAGAGAGAATAATCCATTGCGCTGACGGGAGCATCCGTTGCACCGACGGTTGCATGACGGCGTCGAAGAAGGCTCGGCGAACGGGCGCATGAACCGGGCTATGAAAACTGAACAAGCCGTCGACTTGCATTGCCAGCTACAACACCTAGAGTTGGCCCCGACGACCTCTTCGGACAGTTCGCCGTTCCAACAATCAGCTGCGGATTTCCCCAGAAAACGAAATCTCGCTTTTCGTAAGAGCTTTGGAGGTTGCATCCAACTGCCTACAGAATTGGCAACAACGTCCGCAGCCGAAGAACCGTCTACCTCCCGGATAGAGTTCCACATTCCTGACGAGGTGCACCCCACAGCTTCGGCGCACAGCAGTTGCGTGCCAATGGGTGTTTCTTACGCATCGTCTGATGACGAGAGTGAGCGGTTGGTGGCCACTGATTACTCATCTGGACAACGGTCCTATTCCAGCTGACCTTTGCTTCGCGCTACCTCCAGTACTACGAACTTGGTTGCCACCGACTATTCTTCGGAGGAGCTTTCCACTGCACGGGCGAGTCCAACGCATATGCGAAATGATGATGCGATTCCGAGTCAGAGCGAGTCTGGGTCGGAATCGTCTGGCAGGGGTGATGCAGAGAGAAGGGCGATACTGCAGATTTTGCCCGCACCTTTACCAGGTGAAAGACGAAGGTATAACATGGCTAATAGGAACGCTAGGAGGAAAGAACAGTATAAAAGAGCGAGAAACATGCTGTCCGGAAAAAGACTGCTCATGGTGCGCGGCATGGCATGTTGCAAGGCTCAATGTTGTTACGACGTGTCGCCTGAGGAAGTGCGAAAGGTTAGACAAGGACTGTACAGTAAGAGTCCGGGAGAGCGAGTTGAGTGTTGGATGAAAAGTATTAAGGATTTCACACTAAATGAGAGTGGACAGAAACGT